ATGCTAGGTCAATTGGCGAACGCGCCATTGGCGATGATATCTTCGTCCTCTGCTCATCACCCTCTAGTTCTTCATCTTGCTGACGTATCTCAAGCTAGGTTCTTTCCTTACTACTCTACTCAGGCACACGATATTGGAAGAAGAAAAGAAAGAAGTCAAAACTCGGGATTCAGTAGGGTTGCTGCAGCTGTCTCGGTACATTCAATCCAATCTGAAGAAGCCTTTTCCTCAGTTGTCCATTCTGAAATCATCATATGCGATACCTTCAAATGCTTGGGCAGAAATCCCAGCTAGGGTGGCCCCTTGTACTCACGAATCTGCCCTCCCCCCCTCGTGTAGATATGTCCTCTTTCTGATTGGGAAGGGAGGCGAAAGCCACACATACAGGGTGGCGTTGATTATCGGTTTTCTGACGGTTTTTGGAGTAGGCCTTTACCCGTTCATCTTCTAAAGGCCGCCGAGATCAATCTAAGGTTCTCGGGCTTATGAGGCTAGTAAGAGCTTCTCTCTGGATGGTATTTCGGCTGCAGATGTAGAAACTGCATACGATCATTAATCTCAATGTGGAATGTCATCAGTCATGTCACTGACTATGTACGTAAAGTAGACACCTGTCGATGTGGTTCAGCGGGGTACTTTTCTATCGGGCTGGCTGGCGCGGGCAAATTTCTGACACCTAATTTCTATTCTAAATACTAGTAAAGACATCGCTACTGCTAGGCCATCTCTGAAAGGAACCCAGGTGTCGTACTTCGGGGGGCATGCAGGAAATGATACAGGTCTCATGCCGATTCGATTCCGTACGGCAGGTTCCAGTGGATGCCCCACGCCGTTCCCAATTCTACTCTTGACCCGACTAGCTGTCCCGAGAGTTTAGGTAGAGTATATGTGGTACCTAGAGCACACTATTCTCATTGCTCAGCTTCCAATAAGTTGGGCCGGTTCTTAACCGCCACTGCCGTTGTTGAACTGCTCTCCAAATTAATAGAGTTTTTCGGTGGGGGCCGCCGGGGTGCTTCTGGAAAGGAAAAAAAGAGAGAGAGGGATTCCGAAAACAAAGTGACCCGGTTGGCTCACCGCCTGAACGAATGCAATTTACCGTTTCACATCTCATCGAAACTTGGAACCCAGACTCCATTCATCCACGACAGCCCAATCTACGAAAGGGAAAGGAAAGGAAAGGGAAGGGAAGGGAAGCTTAGGGTGTGCGGGCACAACGTCATGCGTCAATGCCGTCAACGCAAGAAAATCTTTTAGTGTCCGTTCCTTCTCGGTTGCGGCAACCGTTTTGATCAGGGATTCCAGATAGAGACTAACGTTTCGAGGGTCCTGGGAGAGCTAGGGAAAAGGGTAAAGAAGGTAAAAAAAAAAAAAAAAATTTCCTCCTCACCCGCCTGCGCTACGAACAGCTCACAGAAAGAAAAAGACAGCGGCTGCTGCTGGAGTGCATGTCATCACTCTACCCACATATCACTAACTGAGTTTCAATGGTTATCTTTACCGTCATATGTATAAGATCTTTGATCTATCATCAGAGCATAGAGTACCTACATATTATAACCGATCTAATCGCAACTCTCCCCCCTGGAACCCCTCATTATTTTTAGTTACTGTTTCCCATTCGTACGGTAGAACCGGTACTATCAAGGAAAGAGGGGGTGTCCTCATGATCACATCTACATAATACTATGCCTACATAGTGCAGAGAGGGAGGGATTGCTTGTTTGCCTGTGCTGCTATCATCACCACAGGGAGGAGGGGGTGGTACATGATGCCTCTAGGAAGGAAAAAGAAAGAGTCGAAAGTTGCCGTTACATTTCAGTTGAGAACGGACTCACACTAACCAAATAACCGACTAACTGGGTGATCGGAATAGGTAAAAGTACCCTATTACCGTCGCATTTAGAACAAACAGCCTCGGCTTCCGAGATGACTGGTCCATGGGCTGGTATGGTACTCTTACTGCTGCTCGTCTGCGCGCAGCTCTTCTCCAGGCATTATCCTCAAGCATTCCCTTCACCAATGGTTATAGGTTTCAGATGTTTACTCTATATACTACTCAATCTCATTCATCGTGTTATAAAACATGGAGGTGAGGTGACTATTAACCCACGGACGACGAAGAATACGTTTCTCTCAGGCACAGCTAGCGAGATCTAGCATATAGCAATAAACTAATATGTTTGAAACATACATATAATTATAATTATATCTATATATTCTGCACATATATGCTATGCTGCCTGGACAGGAATGGACAGGGAGGTTTGAATCGTGGACGCCGGACCGGCGTTATAGTATCGAATCATCATGAATCTTTATTCAAGATACAGTGCTACTACTCTATATGATAATTATGCGGTGTAGAGTTAACCCGAGCTGGCCCAGGTAAGCAAGGATTCTATTCTACAGGTATTCAGATTGTTATATACGCAGAAGCAGAAATGCCGTCCTACAGCAGCAGAAGCATAGCTGCGGATAACAAAACCTTAAAGATGCCAAGAAATTATGAGGAAAAAAGGCCACCAAAGTGCCGATGAAGGGAAGAGAAGGGCGCAGTACTGCAATCTAGCAGCAGAAGCATCCAGCTGTGGTTCCCACGTTTCCATAATTCTACTGCTGCTGCAACCCGTTCCAATATATATCAGTTCGGGAGACGTCCCCAATTCTGATTGCGCATCTCTCATTATGTAGAGTATCTTATGCTCACTGCCATGGCCATGCAACCTAACAGATCGCCGGAAATGCAACAGATCTTGATTTAAAAAACGTTTCTTCCCCTTCCAATGCCCGGTAACTGCTGCACAGGTGGGGTGGCGTGCCCAGGCCTTTTCAGAACGCACGTGCGTTGAGCTCTTCAAAGGCTTAAAGGTTTATGTTTAGTAGACTATGGCCAAGGCAATTCATGTAACCACAGCTCGCCAATGTTCACTGAATCGCCCATTCATGATCGATGTATGATTATCAATCTCCATTTCCAGTTTCTTGGCTGTAACCCCTACTCTAGATAGCATGTCAATATCAATCAATCATATCACCTGAGATATAGGAATACTTTTGCCGGCCGAATGGAACTCACAATGGGTAGTACAATACAGCATTTACATGCCCAGCTTCTGTTGCAAGCTGTGCTCTAGAGTAAATGATAGCTCATCTGCAGGCGGAAAACTGGGTATCCCTACTATAGCAACCTAGCAAGTACCCAGAAGCACCAGTGTACCGAAAAGCAAAGCTGATCGAGGTGGAAATACCTATATATGGGGGTATATCTCTACTACACCTACCTAGCTAGGCTCACGATTTATCCGCGCCATCATCATCATCTGTAACTGACAGAAGGAGCCCAGCTGGTGGAATTGACTTCATATGTCATGTAATCACAGCTCGCCTTGTACAGCCTCGTTCGACCCCCATATAATAATATATATATTTCAAGCACAGCAAACAAACGTTGTCCCGGCTAATTAACACAATCTGGAAGGACAACTAAGTATGTAGCTACAGCTAGTTTTACGTAGATGTGCGCACGAGTAGGAATGTTTCTCTTTTTATCCCCCATTTCGTTTTTAATTTTTAATTTTTTTTTAAATTATTGAATGGCTATTTTGGAAACAGATGTCAAACAAGAGGTTATGAACATCATTCCACTGGCCCCCCTTGCAAAGAGGTCCTCGCGATCTTGCACCACCCGCTGATTATCTTGCCTAATATTCGTGTAAACACGTTTGTTGCAAGGGTCTGCCTGCGTGAGACTTTGAGGCTCCCCAGTGCGAGGCTGGAGAGGTAAAAGCAAGCAACAGCTCAAGGCAGGCATAAGTATGTCACGTACAACGTCCGGGTATAATCTATGGGGTTCGGTGAAGCTTTGCATCATGTATACCAGGTACATGGCTGAGAACCCTAACCTCCCTTCTTAAAAGCAAAGAATATCGAACTAGAGTTATTCCGTGGTTACTTCATCTTTATAAACCACACACCACACACGCGCACAGGCGCCGGTAATCCTCCAAAACTCCTTCCATCCGAGCGAGACATTCCTAGGCAAAGAAATAGCGGACAGGGATCGACCTGCAGGCAAGGTAGGTTGAGTAAGTCATCGTGCTTTCTTTGCGCAGCAGCTCAGTGTCTTGACTTTAGATCTCAGGAATAAATAAAACAAAACATAAAAAGTGCAAAAAGTCAAATCCCGGAACCCTCGGATCCTCCTTAACGAAACTTCGCCTCCAAGGTATCGTATATACAGCGAATTGTTACTATAGATAACTCTTTCATCCCAAAATGTCTTGAATCCCGTAATAAATCCCAGCAACTCCGATATGCAAAGTAAAAAGACAGAAAAACAGAAATACTGAAAAATAGAAAGGCAAAAAAGACAGAAAACTAAGGAAACCAATCACCTCAGCGCAGCACAAGCCTCTGCCACCGCCGCCGTCCTCGTAATACAAAAAATGAACTCAAGAACTTCTATTTACATGAACATCATTACTAGCTGCTAGCTCCCATATAGATCACCACTCCCCCTTTCCGCTGCTGCGCGCTGATATGATGCAATTCTCCGTGAAGATGAAGGCTAAAAACTCCCAATTGTTGCGCTACTTCCGTCTATGATCGGGAGCGTAATATGGAGGGCCACCTAAGGTGATATCTTGGCCGTGGGGGTTTTCGGGAGTAGACACAGCTCAGACAGAAGTTGTGGCCGCAGTCGCAGGTCGTGCAGTGGCTATTTCGGCCACACTGGCAACAGGTCCAAATCATTTTATATTGGGTTTTGTTATTTGATTTTCGTCTGGTTAAAGGTAAGGTGGTTTGTATAGTAGGAAGGCTTGTATTTAGATCTGCGGTGCGTCGCTGTGGGTAGGTACTGTAATAATGTACTGTACTATCGAGAATGGTTAGTATGATGATTTGTAAGAATGCGATAAAGTACCCTCCCCCCCGCTATGGAAACCTACTGTAGGTGGGTAAAACGCGACAAGATCTGGTATCGAGCTTCAATTGCAATGTTGCGCCCTTCGCAGACAGACTATCTTTCAATGACCACGCAAAACTCTGGCGCTCGAAGCTTCCTTTATAAAGAAACAGAAGACGTTGAAAAACGTAAGGAGGAAGCCGATGAGGTCTTAAAATTCGAAAAGGCAGGAGGGACTATTGCCACTTTGCCACAGAAAGTTTTGCTTGAATTGGAGCTGACTATGTTCGACTCCGGGAGAGTGTCCAGTTCAGTTTTCAGTTCAATAAGCTGAGTGGTAATATCCGAGGTTTTGAGTACTTTTTAAATGGATGATGGGATAAGCAATACTAAGCTGAAGCCCTTTTCTCTTGACGGCACCGAACCCGGTGCTTATATAGTTACTTCATCGACATTTTTCACAATGGAGTAGCTTCGGATTTTGGGGGGGGGGGGGGGTGTTCATTGGAAGAAGGGGGGGGTGTAGTGGAACAGGGAAACCCTTGTCATCACGCTTCAATAGCTGCTTTTCCGTCGCGATGTTCGAGAAAGGAGGGGGAAGTGACAGGCCTTTCCAGTGCGTTTTTTTGGCGCTTGTTGGGGGGGGGGGGGGGGTGAGTGCAGGTTACAGGGACCTCCGCCGGAGAAAAGTATACATAAGTGATCGTACCCTCCTGGACCCTCCCTCCATGCTTTTTTACGAATGGAATCCGCATTTTTTTTCCCACAAGTCGGACGTCGCTAGCCGTCAAACCACACCATGAGCAGACTATTCCCTCTTTGAATTTTTTGTGGGTAGGGAATGGGTTGACCATGTGCTGGGTCACAAGATTTTAATATTGGTACTCGAGTATTGACATCGGTGTAACTTTGGTAGCGGGGTATCCTTGAATGTGTAGAGTGGTTTGGATTGTAGAGGGCCGAATTATTAGTGCCTGAGAAGGGGGTGACAGGCGTGGCAGTGGATGCCAACCTCCTTTCGTTGCTTGCTTGCTTTCTGCTTGCTTGCTTCGTTGAATGAAAGTTGATTGCTGTGACCAAGTAAGCACACTCCACCTAGGCTCCCATCACAACAACCACAACCAAACCGCAACCACAACCACAACAAAATCATAACAATATTAACAATCACCCCCCCCCCCCCCCCCCCTTTCCCTCACACCCCCAGATCTCCGCGATCCATGCAGGTCCAACTGCCCTCTTAGCTGAAGCGGGCAGAAGTACCCAAGTAAAGTAGGTCGAGTATCATGTACCTACCGCCTAGGTCGATTTACAAACCCTGGAGTCAAAGCCGGATTGCACAATTGATTTCCTTTACATGAGTTGCTTTGCATACACATACATAAGGATATACCTACTTTGTGTATGTGCACACATACAGTGACATCCTCTAGCTACGTAGAGTAGCTCCTAGCTCTACTCCACATCTACTCTACATAAATCAATCAATCAGTCAATCAACCAATCTATCTGTCAATCAATACCACACACCTTATCACGACTGTCAAATCATCCGATGAGGATTGACGTTACTCGCACTGTACTCCGATTGGGCAAGGGCACACATGTTGTCCGACTGCATAGGCCGTTCAATACCGCAATATCGGTACGCTTAAGACGATATATTGCCAGGGATATTCTTATAATATTCTCGGCGGTATGACTGCCTCGGCGGGATTAAAAATTCGACGAAAGGATGGGATGTACATAATGTATGTACATGTATCTAGGTGCTGTGTACTACGGTACCACGATGCAGCTCCACTTAATTTTTTTTTCTCCCGCTCTCCGAGGTCGGTGCATACAGGCGGTGTAGATACCGAGTGGCAACAAAACCAAAGGAATTGAGGTGCAAGGATATTTTTTTTGTTGGTTACTTATTACGTCGGTTTGCAGGAAGTTCATCGATTACTGCTGCTGCTGCTGGCCCCTAGCTAGCTGAGATAATGTGACTTTCTAGAGTACTTCGCACGTGCTCACCCCGCATTGGAGAACACACTGTCCTCTGTGCACAGTTCTAGAAACTTTCCCTTGTGGTTGTTACACAAAAAGCTGTTTGCCTAGCTGCCTTGGCTTCCCCCCACCCTTGATGATGGGTTCTAGAAGACTGTTTTCGCCCCCCGAATGTCTCTCTTTTTGCTTCGGCCGGCCATCGACATTCGTCGTGAAGATTAATTACCCTCATTCTAAAGGGGCTGGCAGGGAGAGGAGATGTTTGGTTGCAAGCTGGTTGTGTGCCTAGCAAGGGCAGTACCAAAGGGAGGGGAGATCTCATTCTAGCAAACATAATTGGTGCACATGTTCGGTCAATGTCACTCATTGGTTATCAGAAACACGAAGCCTACATACTCTACATACAACTTGGATGAGCTCTACCAATCATCATATCTACCAACATACCTACTGTATGTACATAGGTGAAGATGCGAATCAATTAATAGTATCCATCTCGCCGGGCCCGGATACCGAGCTGTCAGAACGGTCCATGTAACCAAAGACAGGATAGCTCACTCTTACGTCCTTCCTTTTAGAGATGATATTATCGTAGGGCGATGCTTGGATCTCTTTTTCGATTATCAATCGCCTAACCCGTTTCCCAGAAACCTGACTTTAAGGCAGGATGTGCTCCCGAGGCAGCGATTAGAGTAGGATACAAATGCCATATATATGGTTCCGTACCAAGAGATTGGGCGTTTTAGGAAGCCGTTACATACATGACGACAGATAATGTGCTTCAAACGACATGAGATTTCTAAGGCATAAGTTGTGACGATTATCGAGACACACATATCATCGTCCAGAAATAGCAACCGTCACAAATACCAGGTTCATGAGCTATCTACTACTGCTGCACAGTGAGCATACATACATAATGACTGCCTTCCCAAGAAATTGCATATTTTGCCACGGTGTCGCAGCTTGTCATGGCTTCAGGGACTGGTCCTATTACAGGCCAGAGAGCCGCCTTGTTGTGAACAACAAAATACCTCTTCTACCTGCAGTAGTAGGTACATGAGTTGAGAGAAAGCCTATCGGTTACAACCAGATCAAATATCTATCGATGGTACGCGTACAGTCCAAAACTAGTCAAAAAAGGGCTCTCTTGACTGAAGGCAATCAAAGGCCCCATGCGGTGACCGTATCTCAATTGGTGATCTTATTTGGATTTTGGGCACTCTCGGGCATAATCCTCACACACATATACCTATATACGTATACTATAGGCCACATCTCTCACATTTTGAATATGATGAGAATTCAAAAAAGTCGATTTAGTTTGATCACGCGTCATCACGGATTTAGGATAAAGTTGTCGGGGATTTAGACGTCTTGAGAACATTCCTGTTGTACCCACGGACGTAGATTTGCGCCTTTCTCGCATAATGAAATAAATGCTTGGTTCGACTAACGTCCCTGAATGGTGTAGGCAATACTCGGCTAGTAGCGTCAATTCACACCTGCATACTTATTTATCTAGGGCCTATGTCAAAGAAGGATACTTGTTGACTTGTTGATCTACGTTGAATTTATATAAGCCGACTGGTTGGGTTGGTCTGTCTCGTATTGACAATTAAGAGGCTGGATCCAATTGGTGGCATTTCACGCCATTGCCAGTGAAAGTCGAGTGAGGTTTCATGATCCGCGTCCGAACCCGCCGTTAATAATCCAGATGGCCGTTCAAAGACAACACGGCTTTAGAGCTATTGGAGGCGATCGTTGTTAGAAAACGGAAAATTTGGTTATACAGAAACCATCTAGGTGTACGTACGTACTGTTTAGTGCGATTTATTTAGTGATTAGCACGAGACAATTGTACAAGCTATCTCGAGACCAGGTCTCGGGACTTGGGACAAGGCAATTCAAGATCAACACTCAATGTCTCGGGGTAAGTCTGGGGACCCAGGGTGTGCCAGCAACCGTCATATTTTTGAATTATTCACCAGAAGAATGAGGTGTTTTGACTGATTTCTTCATGTTAGTTCTCCCTAATCGCTTGTTATTCCTACGCAAGGTCTAGGGCCAAAGCAACGCCTCTAAAGAAATTGGTAAAAACCTCGCGCAAAGTACTGGCAGGATTGACCTCCAGCCAATTCTAATTCTAATCTTTCTAAGTTCTAGATTGTGGTTGTCGGGACGAGACAAGACTTGTTTAAGTCTCATTTCCTTTGGTCCGTGTCCATCACTACATGTAGATTTATGGCTATTTTGTTCATCAAAACGCGGCTTTGGAAAATCACAATAGATGATAGTTCCCGTCCCTGGGAATGAATTTGAAGCTGCTATCACCTACGCTACATCGGTATTAGCGGTGAGTAATTCAGCTGAACAAGCCTTCTTCCAGACTTGAAGTGCAGGACCCTGGCTAAGCTCTCGTCTCATTTATAATTGGGCCAATCCGCATATAACTGGCTGAAGAACTCTCAAAAACAGGAAATCTTAGGATCACCATAAGAAGGCCCGTGGATGCATATGCACCCCAGACACATTTTCATGGCGGACCGGGTCGGCATGCTACCAAAATTCTAGCCCTTCGTGCGGCCTTTTGCACGTATGCAGGCCCAGTCCGTTCTCAAAGCGTCAGAATTCTACGAGTATAACACGAGGACGATCTCAATTAATCCGAACCGCTAGATGTGCCAACATGTTAACAGGGCTCAAAATGCCGGTTTTTGATACCGCACCATGTCTAAAGTGGAACTCTCAATGCCGAACCGTTCCCGATATATTTTCTAGTCACATTACTAACCCACCATGCCATAGTGGCCATATTGTGTGATAGCTCACGCACTCCATGTATGTGGTATATTGCTCGCAATACCTTTGTATGTACTTGTGTGTAGATTGATTGACGTGTGTAACGAGCAAAAACAGTTACTGGTCCTTCTTATCGGCCCACCACCTACCCTTTTACTTCCTGACCCCCACTATCCGAGCTTTCCGCTTGATATTCCGGCGCGGATCCATGCAGAAATAAATCTATTGTCGTCTGTAGCTTCTTATCCGAGTATGCCGGTTTCTTCTGGTCTTCCTCCATACTTCACTTCATATGGGTACAGCATCGGACGGAAAGCTCGCTGATTATTCAGAATATCTTGAGATGTCACTGGGTCTTATGATAACACAAATAAGTCAGGACCCTAAAACCCGACGGACGACATAACTAAAGCTTACAAATAACTCCTAACCCTAAGTAGCGTGTTAACCTGGTTGGTCATTCCCATCAATTGGTTGGGTCCCAATGATCACCCTCCGTGTTAGGCGTAACCCTAGCCCGTTCGGTCTAATTGCGCCTGTCTCAGAAGAAAGCTTGGTGACCGGAAGTTGTTTTGTGTGTAGCCATAGGAGACTTGATATGTTCGGACACCAACTCCGAAGTACAATGCTGTATGCCTTTCGGCGCTTTCACTGGGGTAACCCTGCGGTCCCTATTAACCCTCATCTATGTATGTAGGATATTCACAATTCCCCGACGCCCGTCCGACCGTAATGTAATTGTATTCCTAGGATGGGAGCATGTGATTCGAGGAAAGCGCCTGTCTGAGTGACCAACATCTCCTTCTGTCCAATTGGGGGAATACGAAATGAGCGTTTCGGAAGGTTGACTGCATAGGGGCTTTATCTCGAGGTCTGACAAGAGTTAATACATCTCTCACCACTTCAGACAGACCATCTGAAGTAGCTGGCCGTCATTCAGAGTGGCGAGACCTCAGAGAGATACCCGGCCAGGGCCTAGAGTCAACAGCATATCATCAACAAAAGAGGACGTGCAATTCCTCGCTCTTCTGCCACGTTTTGAAGCTCGGATGATAGATCCTTAGTGCGGATGAGCTATATATAAAACCATTCTAGAATGTCAGCCTTGTTTCATCCGAAGCCGTTGCGTGATGTTGGTGAAATCACGTGAAGCGCAGGAATGTGGTTAAGTGTCACGTGTGGGGGCTGGGAATGAAGACTACATGAAGTACCAAGAGTTTGAGCCTTATAGAAGATATTATCATGACTGGATGGTTTGAAAAATGCACTGAGTCATCAGTAATTTGGAGTCGACCGTACTATCCCGGCACTGGAAGCACTGACAAGTATATAACTATGGACACTGTGTTATCAAGTTCATAGGTTCTGCATGCTCCATGAGTATGGAGAAAGCCTCCGGAGAGACTCCGATGAAGAAGAGTTAATATCCTATAGTAAGCTTCCCCGGATAAATCTATCTTCCGAATATATATATATATATATTGCTAGGCTAACCGATTTCAAGGTAGATCAGTGACAAGCGTCTATGTTGACCAGCCTGAATCATAGAGAAAGATTCGCATACATTCTCAAGAACATGTTGGCCATAATGTTCAATCACGTCAAGCTTGGTTCAAAAACGTTTTAAGTCTGCGGGAAAGGCTTGTAGCACTTTACGGATGACCGGACCAGAAACTATTACGTAAATGATTTGTTCCGAGTGATATCCTATGATTGAAGCTGGTGAGGTGGGTTGCTGGCCGGATACCTGATCCAAGAGGAATGGTGGGTTTTGTACCGATTATATCCGGTTTAACCCTCACGGCCTAGTTATCGATCGGTTAAGAGGGAATGAGATGTTTTCCACATGAATACTTCGGCCCCATGGAGCTCTAAAGTTTCAAACGTCTTCTTCACTTCCCCGCCTCTAATATCTCGCTTGAGAGGGCGTGCCCCGCATCCAGATAAGGTGAAGAGCTAGATTATATATTATATCAGTGATAGACACGAACTACACGGAGGTCTCGAGGCTTTGCCCCTAGACAGGGTATATACAAAGAAAGACGAGACGGTTTATCACCGACAACGGCAAGTCTTGAAACGGAAGCTAGTTAAGTGTATCTGGCCGGTCTCGAAAATGTCTAGATATCCTGCACGGACCACCAACCAGCTGCAAGAGCGTTGAGGGGAACGCGGGGATATATTACTCCACGGAGATATATATTGGACCACCTTCCACTACTGACAAGGCTAGAGATTGTGCCAGTCGTGTCTTCTCTGGACTGGGGGGTACGGTTGCTAAGTGACGGGTTAGGGTAACCATAATCGGAGCGCACTTTTGCCTGTAAGCTTAAGTGCTGTACCCATACCCTGCGATACTGCAGGCTGTCAAGCGCCTTGCTTGAGCTGCTAAGCACTTTGGGACGAAAATATATACCAGTAAGGCAGGTTGTCTTGAGATAAATTTCGTGACTGATGGGAGCTGTTTACCACTACCGTTAATTCTCGAATAATCCACTATCCCCGTATTTGTATGTGGTAAGTCCGGACCAAGGCGAATTGGCGTATCAAACTTCATGGATTCATGTAGATATACACTTTTTCTGGCCCGGAATTAAGATTTAACGAAGCGGAGATAGTGGATTTCTCGAGAATTAACGGTAGGTTGCAGGGTCAAGGGAGCTTGCACTAGTTACTCGCGAGCGGAGGGTTGTCGAGTTGCTTGACACGTTTGTTATAGCTAGGCCACTCCAGCTGTATGCGATATGTTCGTGATCGAAATCTGGGAAGTGCATGTCGAGAGGTATGCAGTTTGACATTCCATAATAGTTAATTAAGAGTCGTAGATAGTTCTTGGTCAGAGGTCACCAGATTTAACTCAAAACACCTCAAAATAGCCATTTTCAACATTAATTTTTAAGGGATTAACTTGAAGTCTTTTATAATAGATTTATAGTAGGGCGAATCATTCTCTAAGCCCGTCCTGTAAATATACTAATTTTTCACTAGCTGTAGCAGTTTTTGTACTGGTACAATCCTGAAATCTCTGCCAAGACCTCGAATTTGTATGTGGCTTGGCATATTTTCCAAATTGCTCTCGTTCTGAGCCATGTGGGTCCTTCAATACATGTAACTGCCGCATATGGGTTGTGTCAACTCGTTCCCCACAGATCATACCTACTCTATCGGTTACCCGCGCGGTTGGGAGGCGCATATATGTACAGTAGACTCTCGCTATAAGGATACGGTCGGGACCAAGAATATGTATCCTTATAGCGAGAGTCTACTGTAGTAGCCAAACAAACTCAAGAGTGGCGTTGCGAGATACATGGGGAAGAGGGGAGAGAGGGGGGGGGGGGGGGGGGAAGAGCAGCTGGATTTAACTAACGTGGGGGGAGAACGAGTGTGGGGCTCAATTCTTTGCGGTAGCTTTCACCCCACAGTCTCTATCCCTGACTGCGGTACACATAAGTACGGCCACTCTTCAAAAATGTTTAAAGAATGCCCTACACAAATAGTTAATATTAATGACTTCATGACAGGGTTTCATTGACCATGGACTATTGGTACTGCTACCTATCTAGTTGATCAATTGAGTTAGTTGGCCATCTGTGCTCATCGACACCACGATCAATGCAGAGCGAAGCTATTATGGAGATGATCTAGCTAGGGAACAGTGTCATCCAGACAGGTGGTTGAATGCCCATCGGATTTTTCCAAGCTAGCGTAGAAACTGGAGCTTAAGCAAAATTACCAAAACAGTCACGTAGGAGATATAACCAATCGCACCTTATTGATTTAGAAAGAAACTTCCCCTTATTGGGTGGCCATTATGTCTCCTGTTACAACACTAAGAATTTTGTAGGGCGATTGTTGGAGAGATTTGTAATGTTCAATCGGAGCTATGTGTTAGTTTTCCACACGTTTTTAAATGCGGTAAAATAGTGGCTCCGAGATTCACATTCTGGCTTTATGTCCTGAAATAATAGTTGTCTGTTAGGGTATTCCGCATAGTTGGTTATTTTACGTACGAGTACAAATTCGCTCTCGAGGACGAGACATATTTAGCATCATGGAGCATCACTCGCACATCAATAAACCACTACTTGCTTATAGTATTTAAAATTTAGAATTGAGCTATCTCTACTGTAGAGGGCGATGCTCTTTAATTGTACTCAAAACTAAGGCGGCGTTCTGGGCCTTTTTCGTAAAATCAAATCAAAATTCCATTGGTATAACTAACAAAGAAAGATATAAAAAAAAAAAAACACCAGTCGAGTGACACGCCATGAACAAAATGCATCGTAAAGGTTTGAAAAAAGAAAAAAAAAATACAAAGTACATGATGATACAAAGACTAGCACATACAACACCCCTTCCTGATATCAATACACGCCTGACTATCCATACAAACACTCCTCATAGGCACCTCTCCACCCCATGCCCTCATCTTCTAGGGCCACAGCCATCCTCTCGACGCCCTCCTCCCGTCTCCTGATTCCCTTCGCCAGATCGCGCCAGAACCACCTTGCCTCCTTGTCCTCAACAAGTGTGAACGCATCACCCTCTTTCCCGGCTCTCGCAGTACGGCCGACTCGGTGTACGTATGCGCGGGTACTGGAGGGGATGTCGTAGTTCACGACGTTGTCCACATGGGGCAGATCCAGACCACGAGCTATGAGGTCGGAACAGATGAGACTATTGAAACTGTTAGCTAATGTGCAATAGATGGCAATGGATAGATTGAAGAGCTTACATTTGAACTTCGTCTTTCTTGAAGGAGCGAAGAACCTTCTCACGCCGCTTCTTCTCCATTTCTCCAGTGACTAGACCGGTAGTCCACCCAACCTCTTTTGAAATCCCGATCTTCTCAGCAACTGTATCGATGAGCTTCGTCAGTCTTGCAGCACCCTCGTTACTCTTTACGAACACGATGGTACCCCTCTTGATGTTGCGGTTGCGGAGGAGATACATCAGGTAGAGGGGCTTGTACTCCTTGTTGACGATCGGTATCGCGTATTCCCTCAACTCCATCGGAACTGAGAACACCTCCTCAGGGATGTTTTCGTCGTCCTCGTTCTCATCATTCTTCGCCGCGCCGTCCGCGCCAACAGGCTTCTCAACAACAACCATCGCCGGTCTCCTCAGCTTCAGCCCTGCAAGCTTACCCGCATCCTTCGTCATCGTCGCACTCAAAACGACCTTCCTCACCTCAATCTGCTGTGCCCGAACATTGATACCCAGGTCCTCCAGAACGTCCTCCAACCCGTTTTCCCAGTCCTGATCCTTCGCCGCGGTCTCGATAGAGCCCACAACTACGTCAACCCATTCCTGGAAACTCTGTGCGAGTAGGCGATCCGCTTCATCAATGACAAGCCACTTGACCCACTTCAGACAAAACCCGGGAGTATTTTTAATATGCTCTACCAGGCGTCCGGGGGTCGTGATGAGGATGTCAATCTTACTGCCAGTGTCGGGATCGATCAGGAGGGCCTGCTCGGCCGCGAGTGCCTTCGACCCAATTCCGGTCCCGACCTTGAGGCCAGTACCGGAAGTTAGGGAGACGGCGGTCGAGAAGACTTGGGAGACGAGTTCTCTGGTTGGGACTACCACCACTGCTCGGAGGCGGGTGACAACACGGGTAGAGAGCGATTGTACAATTGGGAGGATATAGGAGAGGGTTTTTCCGGACCCCGTGGCGGCGGAGATACAGACGTCGCCGGCTTTAGGGTCCAGGAGCAGCGGGACTACTGCAGACTGCACGGCGAATGCGTTGGGCAGGTTTAAGGTCTCGAGGCGTGTAAGGAGCTTGGGTGATATGCCAGTCATGCCATTGAAGGGAACTGTAGTTGCCGGCGTGACAACAATTGGGGCAGCGAGCCATGGGGGGAGTGAAGAGGCAAGAATAGACAGGCGTTTGGGGTCTTTGGTGGGCGCGGGTTGAGGGAGAGGTTCGAGGCCCTTTGCTTCTATCGCTTCTTCTTCAACCTCGGGGGCGGCGGGTGTGAGTGTAGCTTTGGTTTTGACTTTAACAAGCTTTTGGAGAATTGACTTGTGTTTTGATAGACCGGAAGCGTCCTCTTCAGCCTCGCCGGATGCTATTTTGGACCTTTTCTCTTTTTTTGAGTGCTTCTTGTCCTTCTTTTCCGGTTTCGGTTCTTCGTCGTTGGCAGCTGGCGGTGGTACATCTTCCGTGGTAGTGACAGTAGTAATAGTGGTGGTGATTGCATTAGTATTATCATTATTATCATTATCGACGTCCTCTGTGGTCGTATCCGCCTTTGATTTCTTTGATTTCTTGTCCTTTTTCCCTTTCTTCGAGGGAGTCTGCTCAGCATCCTCCTTCGCTTTCTCCTCCGTTTCTATACCAACGTCTGATCGCCGCTGCTTTCTCTTCTCCCGTTTCTCCTCTTTCTTCTTTCTCTTCTCTTCTTCGGCAGTGAGTTCGGCCCCGGCGTCCTTCATGTCGATATCCTCATCGTTTCTTTTTCGTTTCTTTAGTTTCGCGATTATGCTGGCCACCTCTGCATCATTCGTACTCATCATTGCTGTTATATTTTCTGTTGTTTTATGTGGTGAATATTTGTAATTTGGATATATCGCCGATGTAGGGTAGTGGTAGTAGTAGTAGTGAAATTGATAGTAAATATTAAAAAGAACGTATCGTATCGAGCAAAGAGAAAAAAAGTCAACGAATCGCAAATGCCAAGCAATTGAGGCTCCTAGCGGGCCATGCCAAGCTTTTGGGCTACACGGAATATGATCCCACGTTTCTGGTTGGGCGACGAGTGGGACGAGTAGGCCGAGACAGCGCGGGCAGGCAGTATCGATAAGGGGCGAGAGAAGGTAATGCTGGACATGAGGAGGTAGAAGAGAGTTCCAGTAGGGAGGGAGGCAAGGATGCGGAGAGAACGGAAAATGAGCATTTTGTCTATGGTGGGGGGTTTATTAAAGGTTATAGATTTGAGTATTTGGTTATTTGAATGCTTAATTAGAGGTTGCAATTGCTGTTGCTATTGTTTGCTTATTGGTCGTACCGGGATACAGCGAGTGTGAATATATCGAATAGCCACAGAGCACAGAGGAAGAGAGCTTGAGAAGTGAATAGTGAATGGAATTGGTCCTCCCCCAACGTCCTCTCGAGCTCTCTTTAAAAAGAAGCCCTTCCCCACTCGCTAGCTATCCTCCATTTCAGGGGGAACGTGCGTGTGGTCGAGAGAGCTGTCATTCCACCGCTTAACTCGCTTTACTCATACCGAATCAGTATTACCGCCAGGGTTAGGGTTCTCAACAATTTCTGTAACGAGGAAAGAGAATGCGAAGGTGTCATTCCCAGATGTCCTTAGCGCGGTCTCAATTCTACACGTGAGGCGTAAGCTCTTGCTCGAGCCAGCTTGCTACATGTCGAGGAGTGTAAACGAACCCAACGCACCTTTTTTATTTCTAAAAGGAATAATACTCAACCAACTCACCCAACAATTCGAATAACCCCGGTAGACCTCATAAGATGCGTTTCACACCTGGTGCCACTATGGCCTCACGCCTTTATTCGATCTACGGCGCTTTTAGTCTGTTCTCGTCGGTAGCTTTCGCGGCTTCGTTGACGGGGTCACGGTTGCTGGTGGTCTTGGAGGACACGGAACAGAAAGAGAGCTACTCACAATTTTTTGGGGATCTAGAAGGTTTGTTTATTTGTGATGCTGGAGATACAATTGAGTTCTGTGCGCTGACATTTCTGTGTTCGTCCCCGTAGCGAGAGGTTATGAACTGAAGTTTGAGTCGCCAAAGACTGAGGGCTTGTCTTTGTTCACCCATGGGGAACGGGAATATGACAATCTGATCCTTTTCCCGCCGAAATCAAAGGGTATGAAAATTCATAGCCATCCTCTAACGTTTGTCGCAAATTTCTAATAAGGTCTCCAGGCTATGGACCAGCACTTACACCACAACTGCTCCTGCAGTTCGCAAATCAGGAAGGAAACATCTTGATCCTCACATCACCTAAAGGCATACCCGAGCAAACCCGCGAATTCGCGCGAGAGCTTGAAATAAACCTTCCTCCGAAGGACTACCTCGTCGTGGACCACTTCTCACACGACACGCTGTCAACAGAGAAGCATGATATGGTAATCGTGAAGCGCCCAGAGGTGTCCACATTTACACAAAACTACTTCTCCCCCTCCTCTTCATCCACAGAAGACATAATTGCCTACCGCGGGGTTGGACACACCCTTGGAAATGGACCACTGCTCAACCCGATTCTGACGGCGGGGAGGACAAGCTATGCGTATGACACGATTGATGATGCTGTATATGCTGAGGACCCATGGAGCGCTGGCAGCCAATTGCACCTTGTCTCGGCTCTGCAGGCGAGGAACAATGCCCGCATTACGATTTCTGGAAGCGCCGAGATCTTCTCGGATGTCTTCTATGGTCTCAATGTCAAACCGCCCGGCAGTGCCAAGAAAGTCAAGGTTGCGAACCGTGCGTTTGGAAGGGATGTCACTGCATGGACATTCAAGGAGACTGGTGTTGTCAAGGTTGTTGGCATCAAGCACTACCTTACCAACGAGACCGACGCGCAGATCAACCCCCGTCTTTACAGGATCAAGAACGATGTCGTATGTACCCCCGTTTGTCCTAAGTAATATAGCTCCTCCATATACTAACCCCCGCTAGACTTTCGAGATTGAGCTTGCTGAGTACAAGTCTGACCACTGGGCGCCCTTCACTGTCCCTGCCGATGACGCCCTCCAACTCGAATTCACCATGCTAGACCCCTACCACCGCATCTCACTCACTCCCTCAGTCTTTTCTCCCAACTCAACTACATACTCCACCAGCTTCAGGATCCCCGACCAGCACGGAGTGTTCGCCTTCCGTGTCAACTACAAGCGCCCCTTCCTCAGCAATGTTGATGAGAAATACACCGTCACCGTGAGACACTTTGCGCACGACGAGTACACCCGCAGTTGGGACATCTCGGGCGCGTGGGTATGGATGGCGGGTATCGCGGTTACAGTTGTTGGTTGGGTAGCGTTCTGTGCGTTGTGGCTGTGGAGCGCGCCCGCGACAGAGGTAAAGAAGGGGAAGAAAAGTCAGTAGTTTTTGATATCCAAGGTTTATGGGTGATTAGACTTTTTTTTCTTTATAACTTTAGTTTTCAATTCATATTTTTTTTCTTTTTTTTGTGTCTGGCTTTTGTGGGATTTGTATTTTTACAAAAGAATGTGTTTTGGTCGTAAAGAGAAACAAACAGCATGCCATGATCGCGATTACATATTTGTAGCAAGTTGGCGCCAAAAGGGTACGGAGTGAGAATGAAGTAAAATATATCCAAAACCGGATATCACGGCAAAAAAGACCACTCCATCCATACATACCAAACTGTCCTCTCCCTCTTCCTCCACCACCCCAGATGTCAATGATCATCCACGCACACACTATAATCCTCACAAACTATCACTCGCACTAACCCACCCCCAACACGGCTTAGCGTCTCCCCATCCGACCCGTGCACCAAGACCAGTGCTAGTGAGACATGTCCGATGACTTGTACTCTCCCACCGCATCCTAACCCGATGCCATCAAAATTCCCCTACTTTTAGAAAGAAGGCCCGCGCTCGGCCGGAGGAGGGAGGGAGGGAGCATCGTGATCATCTCTATCTCAACAAATCGATGCAATGACAGCGAGGGGTGCGTGATGGTCATGATGTGTTGTATGTGGGGGGGGGGGGGGGGGGAGAGTTCATGGGGTGTCACTCGTCGCGCGGGTAGGGTAGGTTGAGCCCGATAGCAGAGTGTGATGGCGTAGAGTAGGTAATCTACGTGATACTGTAGGCACATATTTGCTTCTTTGACTCGCTATGGAGAGCCTGGTCGGGCTGGGGAGTATGTAGGTACTCTACGCTAGAATACTCTAGACTTCATGACTTTAGAGTAGATTGATAGAGACGCACCTAGAGTGAGGACCTACTCTACTATCGATGTAAGGGGGGGGGGGGGGGGTGGATGAACGGTATGAAGTTGATTAAGTGCGGTACTCTACACACGTGCTACATCACGCGCGAGCGGGCGGTTACATACATACATGTACGCGTAGAGTCCTTCTAGTGCACGCTCGGGACTTGATGATCATCCAACCCGAGCGTCGGGAACGACTCGTACATGCAAACGGCAGTAGGTACTCCCAAGAAACAATCCACGGGTAAACATTATCTTCCCGATACTCTAAAATTCGTATGCATGACATTACTACTACATATTAAGACTAAACAACATCTCTACTCTACCCACCTTGTATAATTCTAGAACTAGACACTAACACTAACTACATATTCATAAGTAGAGCTCGATCGAGTACATCCGCCGCCTCCCTCCCAATGGTGAGGTGTGGTTATAGGAATTACAGACATGACGTGAAAAATATTGAGGGGGGTCTGGGTCTGATTTTTCTGGTCAACAGTTCGCTCGCTCGCTGTGTAAAAAGGAAAAAAAGAAAAAAGAAAAAAAAAAAGGAAATGTGAGCTCGAGCAGGTACATGTCGTCCCTCCGCCAGGGGAATCGTCCCAAAATTTCAAAAGAAAAAAAAAATACAGTTATGGAGGATGCATGTTGATAGAGCAGACCGAGGGGGGAAAGGCCTACATAATAAACAAATCATAGTGAACGAAACGCAGAATAGAAAAAATATAAAACGTGAGATACATCGTTAAAAGCTATTAAAGGATACATAAATTGCTAGAGAGGTTAAGTAAATAAGATGGCTGTTTGTAGGTTGGTGGTGGTGGGAATATTGTAACAACGAAAAAACAATCGAAAAAATATATAGAAATACAAAAAAGACCCAAAAGTACTATCCCGCTTTCCCGCAAAAACACAGAACACAAACAAAACAAAAAAAAAAAACACAGAACACTAATACGAAAAATAATCCATTCATTTAGTCCACTCACGAGCTATAACCCGCGCAATTACTCTGGTCCATATCTGCTTCTCTCCGTCCCGCCGCCCTCCTCCCTCCCCGCCAGCGACTTCTTCCACTCCCTCCACTCCGTCGCAATCTCATCCAACACCCCGCCCATCACCATCGCACTAGCCATCAATCCATGCCCCTCATTCGGCAACACCCGCACCTCACACACCTTCATCGTCTTACCCAGCCACCTCACGTTCTCAACAGGCACCCTCGTATCCTTCGTCCCATGATGAATCACGACATCACGTGTGATATCCACATATCTGAAACCCACAGGCCTGCTGCGCTCAAGACACACCAGCAGATCTACAGCCGGGTTTGCATTGCGTGTTGACAGTGTCCAGATGGCATGTGTCAGACGCTCATCGTACGACATCTGCCGCTCCTTCTCAGCAACGGACGCAAGCGCGGCAGCAAAGGCGTCCATTTCTGGCGCCTTCTCTGCAGCTTCACCGGTGGGCTCGCCGCCTTCTTTAGTTGCATCGGCTGAGGACGAACTTCCAGATGGCGAATCGTTTTCTCCCTTTGCGGCTGCCGCCGCCGCCATGGCAGCGGCAGCCTTCTCTTTAGCTTCCTGCGAGGAAGAACGGGAAGACTTCTTTCTGCCCTTGCCGCCTCCTGTCCTTGGGAGGGATGTTGTGAGGGACGAGGAGGTCGCAGACATGAAGGACGAGTTTGCGGCTTTCAGTATCGGCGTGGGAAGTGCGCGGAGAATCCGCTGTGATGTTGGCACTGAGCCAACCTTCTCGCCTTTCTCCATGCCTGAATACACAACACCCTCCATCTGGGAGGGCGGGATCCATGGCGCAAGGAGGTGAATCCTCCCACGGATATGGCTAGGCATCCTCAGCGCTGTCGCGAGCGCATAGATAGCACCTGCAGAGTGCGCAAGGATGGAAAACTTTGAGATTTTGAGATGCTGGCAGATGTACAAGACATCGTCGGGCCAGTTGAGAACTGTCCGCTCCGTCTCATCTATGGGCTCTGATTCACCGACGCCCGGCCTGTCAGGCGTGATAAGGCGGAGACCGAGTGTTAGTGCGAGCTCGTCATAGAAGGCAGTAACGTAACGGGTTAGGCCCATTCCAACGCACACAAAGACCGCAAACCCAGCGGGATCACCAACTTCAGAGAAGGAGATGATACGACCGGTGTTGGGCATGCGGATCTTTTGGGACAGGCGCTCAGAACACAGGTATGCATCCACAGCATCATCAACCGAATCTGCAGACGATGGGCGCTGTTCGGGCGTGCTTTGGAACGACGCACGTGGGGGCGAGGCTTGCAAGTGTGCACCGCGTGGAGCTGGGTCCGATTTACGTTTGTTTTTGCTTGGAGATCGGTTTGGTGCTGGGGCGCGGAGACTGTCAGATCGCAAGGGGTAAAGATTTTGCTTCGAGTTACGTTTAGCCTTCTCCTTCTCGGGCCGAGCCTTCGGAAGTTCGGGAGCTGGTGCGGCTTCGTCGTTTTCATCATCTTCGTACGGGCAGCCACCGGCTTCAAACAAAGGAGAGCCAAGAGGAGACGGGGCGTGCATAGGAGCGAGGCCTGCAATCAACGACGGCGGATAACTGCGAGAAGTGTGAGGAGATCCTTTCCCATAGCTGCTTGATCGTTGGGGTATATGCCTTGAAATATCCTCAGCCACATTCTTTCCCTTCCCAGCCGTGTCAATTCCTCCCGTCGGACTCAAAATCCCGGCCGCACTCATCCTCAATTCACCTTCACTCTCACGGTCCCTCTCCATGGCCTTCTCCATCTTGATCTTCTCCTTTGAAGAAACGTAGCCCAATCTACCACAGTCCTTCTTTGAGCTCTTGCTGCTCTCCCGCGAGCTCTTCCGCTCATGGAGAGACTTCCCTGGCCCAACCACACCCCCGTTCATATAATTCCTGACATAGTTCGGGATGTCAACGCCTCCTTTACCAACCGATATTCCCGAATAAGAACTCCTCCCTGAGTCGATCGAGCCATTCGTGTGCACCGAGAGCCCGCTAGGCGGTTTCGCCGTCCTCACCACAGGCGCCAAAGCGGCGTCATCCGGATGCAGAAATGCATGTTCTCTCCCCGCGCCCACCGTATAGTCATACCCCGGGTGCTCCCTCCTATGCGAGGTGGGCTGGCTCGGCGGAGCCAGATTCCCGTAGAGCGCGGGATTCTCGAGGGGCCCAGGCGAGAGCTTGCTGAGCGAGTCGACGAGATTCGTGATCACCTCCGGCGAGCTGGCGGACGAGATTGAGCGGTGACGGGAGTGGACGGATTTCCGTCGGGGCTTGTCGCGGTTGTGGCGAGGGGTCGTGCTGGTGGGTTGATGGGAGTGCCGGTGTTGGGGAGTTGCGGTTGCAGGATCCCGTGGGGGCGGAGGCAGCGGCGGTAGCGGAGGGAGGGAGGATGTCATGGTTCCGGGGAATTCTCTTTTCTTTTTTTTTCTCTTGCCTTTTCTGCTTGTCTCTGGCTGTGTCTTTGAGGATGTAAGGGGATGGAAAAAGAGAGAACAAAGAATAGGGCAATAGAAGGGGGAAAGGAAAGTCTTTAGTTAATTTAGTAGGTCACCGTTCCATATAATAATAATAAATAATATGTTTGTGGCTGGTTCGTAATCCTGGGATGACCGCAAAGGCTGGCTGATTGATTGAATCTGGAATGCTCCGAAACCCGAACCAAAGGGATATATTAAAAAACCGACTCCCAGAAATACGCTAATTAATGGGTCGATCTCTGGCTCCTTATAAACAATTCGAAACTCCCTCACTTTCTCTCTCTCTCCGCGTATCCGCCCTTGAACTCGATCCTCGCACGAGTTGTTGTTTGGTGATGGTTGTTTGGAAAAAAACCCCCTGAGGCAATCTGATCCCAGCTTTTTTTTTTTTTCTTTGGCCCAAACAAAACAAGCTCGTCGCACAGGCAACTCAAGCGAGAACGAGGACCGCCGATCCGATTCGGTCGGTTGTCAAGCAAGCAAGCAGACAAAGGGTCACACTGCAGATTCTGGGGGGAGGGGGGGCGAGACGCAAGGGACGATTGAGGCGGTGGTGGTGGTGGTGGGTGGTGGGTGGGCCAACACTGAACACTGAACACTGAATGGACGAACGTTCTGAGGCAGAGCAATGTATGTATGTATGTGTGTAGTAGTGTGTGGGGTTGAAAATATGGGACGGAGGAAAAGCAGCAGCCAGGGAAAGAGGGGGGGGGGGGGAAAACTGTACAGAGGAAAAGGGTCCAAGAGAACTGGCCAATCGAGTACCGGGGCCTTTCTCCTTGAACTGGAAAGGGGGGGGGGGGATTTTCGTCCCTTTCTCTCTCTCTCTCCTGAGAACAGAACCCTGGATTCCTGGACGATAATTGCGATAGACGACCGAACGACCGAACGACCACGACCGACCGACCGACCACTGCTACCTCTCTCCGGCCCTCCACCACTATGAGCACTGTGAGACGGGATGGGATGAAAGAGCAGCAGCAGTCTGGCACTGGTAATGAGCTTCCCGTCCGTCCATGGGGTTGGGTGTGAGAGAGCACGGACGAAACGGGGGGGTAAAATAACCAGTCGGGTTTCAACCACTCAGATGCCGAGATGGGCCCAGTAGGAATCACAATGAAATCTGTAATCAGATGCCCAATGCCTTGAGGATCCTCCGTAGTGGAAAGAAAAAAAGAAGGTGGCCTACATGAAGAGCATGTGCACATCAATGCAAGGTAATATAGCACTTGCTTTCTCGGTAGCTCGGGAACCTCTATTGATGTTGTTGGTGTTGGTGTTTTGTTGTTTGGACAAGTTTCAATCGGATAAGAACGGATCAGATAAGTGATATACGACGGTCCGGTTTGATCGAAAGAACGCACTGCAAAATGTCGACAGAGTGTTTTAAATGGTGAAATGATAGAGAAAATTCACAATTAGAACTAACAAGTAAAAAGAACTAACAAGCAGAAAGAACTAACAAGTTGACCCCCCTAGAGCAACTTTTAAGAAATAACCTTGCAAGTTATAATTAAAGAAGATAAATACGAATAGACTACAAATAAATACGAATATACTACGAAATAAAGTTAAAGCATCTAGTCATTTACCAAAAAACCAGAAATGCACAGACAGCCCATTCCACCCGGGTGATACAACATGATCCTACACCATTCACACACTCTACCAAACAACTGCAACCATCACACCCAATCACTCGTGCCCGGACCGTCCCGTATATACGTTACCAACACTTGACACGGACAGCTCGACAATAAGCTCTCTCTCCAACCTTCAACGGCCCTACACACTTCTCCCGGCCGAATAGTAATTATTCGAGAACTAATCTGACAGGTAAAACACCCACGGTACGGTACGGTACGGTGCGGTTATATGTAGCTAGAGTACATACATGATAACTACTAATACACCACACCATACCATACCAGTTTCTTTCTTTTACCGTTGTCGCTGTTCCACCCTTCACCTCCAAGACAGTTGCAAAAAAAAAAAAAAAAAAAAAGAAACGTTCAAAGCCACCACCACCACGAACACACGTGCACACCCGTCCGGGGGGGGGGGGGATCTGCCCGCGTGTGTGCCTCACCCATTATGCAAACATCGCACCATTCTTGGCTTGTAGGTAGCCCTTCTGGAAGCCTGCCTAGCTACAAAAGAAAAGAAAAAGAAAAAAAACAAAAAAAACAACAACGGGATATATGTACGTGAATAAATAAGAATAACCTCATGCGTACATCGAAGGCATCTGTGTATCCGCTGGGGGGTTTTTTTTTGATGAGGTTGGTCTAGAAGTACATGTAATCAATGCGGTTTTTTTTGCACGGCCGTACTCTACTCTACTGTCTCTCAGCTAGGCCTAGGCCTGATGGGGATGGCAGTTAAAATTGAAGGTAAACGATGTCCCGGGGTTGGGGGGGGGGGAGTTTCTACTCTGGTATCGAGTCACCTACGTTTTCGACAAAACCCATACTGGATAAAATTCCAAGCTATATAATTAGACAAAAAAAAAAACCAAATGAAGCCTCTCAATTTAGATATTCCTACAAAGAACCCTGAATGCAAATCCAACCCCCAAACCCAGCCCAAACCCAGACAGACCAAACACTAGTATACCAATGCTAAGATTCCAACTCCACCAATGCTAATACCTATACCTACCTACCTACCTACCTACAAAGCAAAACTACCAAAAAAAAAAATACAAAAAAAAAATACGAAAAAAAAAAAAAAAACCTATTCCTTAACCTTAAGAATCGCAATAGACCTAACCCTCTTCCCCGCCATCCTCCTGATCGTGTCATGCAGCGTGCCCTCCGCCTCCAACGCATACACATCATCGCTGCCCCCAATGCTCTTCCCCGAGATCATGACATTCGGCACCGTCCTGCGCCCCGTCTGCTTCCCGAGGGCCGCCTGGATCTCGGCGCCGTGCTCGTGCTGGTCGAGCTCCACCACGAGCGGGGCGGGGACGATGTTGTACTTCTCGAGCAGGAGGATCTTGGCGCGCTTCGAGTATGGGCAGTAGGACTTTGAGAAGATCACAACTATATATATATATAACAAAACCCCCACCGTCAGCAACCACTCACTCACCCCCTTCAAAAAAAAAAAAAAAAAAAAACAACCATGGGTGGGGGGAATAAAACATACTGGGCGCCCTTTTCAAATACTCCGCAATCTCCACCAACGGATCATACTCCACCTCCGTCTCCTCCTCCTTCGCCTTCGCCGCCCCGTTCTTCGCCTTCCTGCTCTCCTCGACCTTCTTCGGCGAGTCCGGCCTCGGCCCCGCCTTCTCCGCCGCCGCCTTCTTCGCCGCGTCCTCGGCCTCCTTCAGCCGCTCCGCGACGCCCGCCGAGTCGGACAGGTCCTGGCTGTGGTCCACGGGGGGCACCAGGGACTCGTGCTGCTGCTGTGCCAGGCGCTCTTGGTCGGAGATGTCGACGAGGGCTTTGAGGTAGCGGGATTGGCTGTCGGGGTAGCTGGTTGACTGTAGGGGGAGGTCAGTGGGGAGTCCAAGACGAAGGGGGGGGGGGGGGGGGAGGACGGACTCGCAGGTATAGGATTATGAGGATGGTGGTTATGGCTGCTACGGCGAAGAGCTTGACACGGCGGGAGGAGGGCATTGTGCTGTGTCTTGCTGTGTGTCTAAGGTAGTAGGTAGTAGTGTTTCTTGGTGGAGCTATGGCTTTTTTTTTATTTGCTCTGACGCTCTGCTCTGCTCTGCTAGCTGTGGGTTAAGCGTTTAAGCGTTTTCTGTTGAGCGGAAAAGTCTTGGGGGTTGGGCCCGGATGTTTAAGCTTGTCTAAGGAAGGAAAAGGGATGAGGATCAGGATGAGGATGAGGATGAGGATGCAGAGGATGAGCAGCAGGAGGAGGAGGAGGAGGAGGAGAGGACCAGAGAGAAACTTGGTTGAGCTGCACCGGTAGCTAGGACCACCACGCTCGCTCGCTCGCTCTCAACGGAATTGGGGTTGTGCAAGATTAGCGTTTCCCAATGCGTACCGAGCACTTCCACTTCTGCAAAGAAGGAGCGAATGAAACGGCCCCGTGCGTGCGGGCGACGGGCGGAAGCTCTCCCTTGCTGACGGACGGCTATCGTGCCGGTCACAGCTGTTCTGTGCATGAAGGGGACGGGCATTCATTCATTCTGCACTCGTTATTGTAGATGCATGTATGTATGTTCAGCCGTGGCATCTCTACTTCAATTGCCCAATTCCAGCTGCGAGATGTCTGCATCTGCGAGATATCTGCATCTGCCCTCCAATCCACAGCAGACTTCAAAGTGACTGATCGGCCCGTCCCGTTACATCATCGCCACCGATGCATCTCCATCCGCTGCACGTGATGCGGCTCCCTCTCACCCTTGAAGCAATTCCCCACACCTCATCCCCTCGGGCTGCAGCTCCCATCTAGCTCACAGCTCCACAGCTCCAACACACACTACATCCACCATGACCTCCCTCTCCTTCCTCCTCCCCTTCGCCCACTGGCCCGCCGCCGCCGCCGCCGCCAACCCCCTCGTGCCCCCCGCCTCCACCATCACCACCGCCAAGTTCCTCCCCCACCACCTCCTCCTCGGCCTCTCCTGCGGCGAGCTCCTCCTCCTCTCCACCCCCCCCGACAGCACCACACCCACCCCAACCCCAACCCCAACCCCCCACGCCCGCCTCAGCGGCCACCGCTCCCCCATCCTCGCGCTCGCCACGCTCACCGCGACCACCGAGTGCGGCCGCGAGACCCTCCTCTTAAGCCTCGACCTCTCCGGGCGCATCCGCAAATGGTCGCTCAGCGACGGGCGCTGCCTGCTCTCCGCCCCGTCCACCGTCTCCGCCACGCCCAAGGGCCTCAAGGTCATCGAGCGCCACGCCGCCGACGGCGGTGCGGCGGCGGCGCAGGACGCGGTGGTCCTCGTGTACGGATGCAGCACCGAGATCGCGGTGCTGAACGCCGAGACGCTGCAGCGCGTTCTGCTGTGGGCTGGAAACGTCGACTGGCCGCTGCCGGCGGTGGCGCCGGCGGTGGCGGCGGCGGGCGGCCGCGAGATACTGGCGTGGATGCCGGAGGGCCGCGTGCAGGGGTGGGTGCTGCAGAAGCGGGTGTCGGCGGACGGGCGCGCGGCGGTGGGCGTGGAGAAGGAGCATCAGCGGCTGTTTGGCACCGACGCGCGGGAGGAGTGGGGCGCGGTGGTGGGGTTTGAGAGGGCGGCCGAGAGGGACTATGTCCTTGTGCAGCGGAGGGGTGTGAGGGTGTATGCGGCGGATGGCGCCTATTCGTTTGTGCTCAGGAAATCGGTCGAGATGGAGGCTGGGGATATTGCGGGGTATGAGGTGTTTGAGAAGAGGGGGCTGGTGTTTGTGTGGACGCACAATGGCAATGGATGCGTTATCCAGCGCGGGGAAGAGGGGCTGTGGGGTCTTTCTGGTACATTTACTCGCCCGGAATCAGTGCCGGAGGATGAGAAGTCCGCGGTCATGGCCTTCACGGAAAGGAATGGGAGTTGGGTTGTGGCTGCGTTCTCGCAATCAACTCCAGAAAAGAGACAAGGTGGTTTAGCTGTCGGGGTGTTTTCTCTTAAAGACGGTGGAAGTGATATCAAATGGAGCGATAATACAGAAGGTGTGCTCATTCTAATCTCTAATAAAACACCATTATTAAAAATGTCGTCTGCCGTGATGTTAATACCATATCTCTCAATAACCAGTCCTGTTTCCGCCACCTCCACCAGAGGATGGAGCACCGCTATGCACAAGCTACGCCATCTTCGCAAACATGATGGTCTTCGCCCACGGCTCCACGCTCCAGCTCCACACCCTCTCCACCTTCCTCCTCTCCTACGACAGCCCCACCAAACAAGTCTCCATCCCCACCACCTCCCGCATCTGCCTCCTCAAGCGCGTGAAAATCGGCGAATACGTCGCGACCGGCCGCAACGCCGGCGTCCAAGGCGGCAAGGAATACCTCGTCGTCGGCAGCACCGCCGGCGAGCTCTTCATCGTCGAATCGCCCTCCTTCCAATCCACCAAGCGCCTCCCGCTCTCCGCGACGCCCATCGCGTCCGCAAACCTGCTGCCCACAAACCTCGGGAAGCGGCTGCGGTCGACGCTGTTTGTGTCGTCGGCGGACGGCACGGCCTCCATCGTGGATGTGGAGCGCGCTAGGATCATGGCCACGTTCCCGTCCCATCACTATCTCCACCTCACGTCCTTTGCCACAAAGGCCTCGCAGAACATCATCCTCCTCACGTATGAGGACTCTGCGCGGCGGGAGTGGGACCTCGGGGAGGAGGAAGGGGGCGTGCTGAAGCCGCCGCCGTCGAGTCGGGGGAGCGACAGGAACGGAGGCGTGTATTCGGCAGACCTGGCAGACGAGGGGTGGCACGATGTAAAAGTGGGGACCTTTGAGGTCGAGGAGGTCGAAGAAGGCGAGGAGGAAAACGAGGGCCCTATCGGCGATGCGGCAATGAAGGCCTGTCTGCGGTTCTGCGAAGAGGGGCTGCCGACCATGGTGGTTGATGTCAAGAGTGTGCTTGACACTCTGAAGGCATCTGTGGATGTGGCGAAGCAAAGGAGTAGGCGCCACGAGAGGGTGGTTGTCGGGAATAATCCAGCGCTGATAGCCGCGAAGTCACTCCTCACAGCGCTGATCCCGGGAGGCATCGAGGAGCTTCTCGGATGGGGGAAGCAGGACGACTACGAGTGGCGGACATCGGTTTCGGGGTACTTCTTCAAGAGGAAAACCCCAGCGGTGCTGGGGCAGATTGGTGCAGGGAAGCATATATCTTTGCTGTCGCCCGAGGCATTTACGCGCAGTGAGGATACGGTCTGGGGGATCGGGAACACCGTTACGAGTATCGTGTTGCTGGCCGCGCTGTCGCTTGTGGGCGGGCTGTTGGAGGCGGCGGGGAAGGAGGAGTTCTTTGAGACGGTGATTGAGAGGACGATGGAGAACCTGAACCAGGGCACGGCGAGGAAGGCGCCGGCACTCGGGGTTTTTGCAAAGTATTGGATGGACCGCAATCGTATGTCGTCCCTTGACGTGGAGAGATATATATATATATATACTATTTTGCTGATATTTGCATCATGAGACAGTACTCGTTAGGAAGACGGCGAGGACTCTCATGCGGATCTGCATGCAGCGCTTGACACACGAACAGAGGGATGACGCTGTTACGTATTGGTCAAGATTCCGTAAGTCGCCTTGATCCAACTGAAGTTGTCGTGAGCTAATAATGGCATTCAGTACCTGTTTTGGTCCCGCCAGAGTTGTTTTCCTCGAAAGATGTTGTGAGGAGTGTTGTGATCTTGGGCAAACTGACAGCCGATTACCCAGACAAGATTGAAGCGAGGTGAGTGGAAATGATCGCCACGACAGGAATATTCTCCTGACCACAGAACAGCGTCAAGAAGAATGTTGCGCTTTCGGTGGAGCTGTTACTTGGTGACAGCAATCCCCATTTCCAGGACACTGCGATTGAGCTAGTTGGCGATGGCTGGTCTGTCTTTCAATCGCTCTTTGACCCTGCTGAAGTTAGTATCTCCATAATTCTACTCACATCCAGTGAAGCAAACTAACAAACCACCCCAGGTAATCCACATCCTGATCCGCATCTCCTCCACCGACCCCGACACCTTCCCCGAGTCCCGCCGCAAAACCCTCCACGACTGCATCCTCTCCATCGCGCGCTCCAACTCGCCCCTCCTCGGCTCCGGCCTCGCAAACAACATCGCCCACGGCACCCCCTCCCCCTCCCACTCAACAGCCGCAACAATGTCCACCGCCGTCACCATCTGCGTCGCCGCAATGCGCATCGTCATCGTCGTCATCCGCGCAGACGCAGTCCTCTTCCGCGACATCCTGAACCTCATCGTCGCCGCCGTCGTCAAGATCCTCGACCCCAGCTCCCCGCTGCGCGAAAAGGTGCTCCCGACGGTCACAGAGCTCGTCAACGAGATGGTCGAGGCCTACCCCACCATCACGTTCCACCGTCCCACGCAGCGCCTGGCGCTCAGTGTGTCGCCCGGCGTCATACTCATCTTCGATCTCAAGTCGGCGACGGAGATGAATGTGCTGCAGGGCCACACCAACCTGGCGAATTTCCTGGCGTTTAGTGTTGACGGGCGGTATCTGGCGGCGGTGGACCTGGACGAGAATGTGGTGCTGGTGTGGAGGTTTGTGTCGGGGCTGCTCAGCTTTATCGGCGGGAGCGATGGCCCGCCGGGGGTGCTGATGCCGAGGAGGAAGGAGCCGTTGAGGAATACGAGGAGGGTGAGTGTGGTGGATGTGGAGTGGACGGGGGAGAAGAGTGTGAAGGTTACTGCGGGGACGGAGGTGACGGTGGTGGCGAACGTGGAGGGGAAGGGAGAGGGGGGGTGGGGCATTTTGTAGGTAGGTTAAGTAATTATATAGTGGTGAGATGTTGAGCGATGTTCTGGAGGTTAATATCCATGAAGAATCAAACAGAATCGTACGTAGATGGTGAAAGTTTAGAGTGATTTCCTTGTTTTCGGAGATGATCTTTTGAAGTAATAGAGAACCGAGATGATGATTAGAGACAAGGAAGGCTCTCTCTTTATATGCACAGCTTAGAGAACAAAATAGCTCGAAGGCAAAAGTAGAGATAGCTTGGGGCCACGTCCAGACTACAGAATGAAACGTTGTCATTGACAATGTAATCGTTAACACAACCGCAGCGACTGCCACAAAATGCTGCCCATCGCCAACCATTTGGGTAGATAAGAGTGCGTATACATAAGTAGTCTAAAGCCAGCAGTAATATTGTTGTTATAATCAAGAATTACATGTAGTCGCTCCACGTAATAAAGACTTATATACCCCAACGTGGACGTGGACACTGCTTTCTCTATGGTTGGGATCCAACAACCACAACGAGTGATACCCCATGACCGCGCCATGCTCCACACCACCGAGTGACCCAACCACCAACCCACCTTAGCCTTCCCAAAACCCTCCACTACCAGGCCCCTAACTTCCCACACGGTGAATATAAATACTTACCCAACCTAAACCCCCAACCACCCATTTCCCCTCCAATGCTCCATCTTCGTATTTTTATGGAATGAAATTAGATCTACTTGTACTTATAAAAAGATCTACGAAATAAAAAAAATGAAAAGACATCTACATCTATCTACTATCTCCTATACTATAAAAGAATATGGTCTGAAAAAGTTTTGCTAAACCCTAATCCTACATCCGACCCTGACCATGGGGGAGAATGGGGGAGACCAAATGATGAGCGAGAAGCTAAGGTAACCGACCGCTCAAGCTGCAATCACAGGGCCATAATTCCAGCCAGTGCGGTTCACGAGAAGTCGACACTCGAGGCGAGGTTTGGGGGTGTCTTCGTTGACCTCTGTCCTTGCCTGTCCTCCAATTGCAAGTCCGGTAGAGCAAAAAGTGATATTCCCTAAAACCAAAGGTATATTTAATTCACGATCTCATCCAATTGTGGCATATCAAGTGTGTATTATAGCCCAGAATTGCCCTTGGAAGTCCTCGAAGCAAGGATAGGTATTGTCCTCGAGGTTCCTTCATGTGCTTTTGGACCGCTTTCCTTGTGTGTCACCGAGGACATGTCCTCGCAAGGACGCTCGTCTCGTGGACCACACTGTTCCCAGCCCAGAAGTGTGCCAGGAGACTAGGGGACTCGAGGAATGGGGTCGTGCTGCTGAGGGGGGGGGGGGGGGCATATATATACTAGATAGTCGAAGTCGTTATTTTATATGTACTTTAGACAGACGAAAGTTGTGCAATTATGGTAACGGTCTATACTAGTGCCAGTTCACCTTTTTTCTACAATTGATCCAATGCACATACCTTTCACTTCCTCAAACCAGAGTCACATTGAGCACTATAGAAAAACATGAATAACTAATCATTGACATCATAACTACTACTACCATACAAAAAAAACCAAAGCCCCTCCCCCCTCCCTCTACCCGCTATCAAGGCCTGCTATACCTCGCCTCCGCCGTATAATCCTTATTCGGCCCCTCCACCCTATACCTGATCCAGAACCGCTCCAGGTCCGGCGCCCCCGGCCTAAATACAAACCTGTAACTCGGCCAGTACCAATCCTTGACACACAGATGCTCGCTCTTTGCCTTCCAGCCGCCGGGCATATCGACCTCACTACCCCCACTGTTCCCACCCGCAGCCCCAGCCTCGGCACTCGTAGTATCGGCACCAGCAGGCAGAAACTCGAGAGCGTGGAAGAAATAATCCACGTCGCCGCTGCCATCCGTCTTGACGAACCACACAGTGATGGTGTCCTCCTGGGGATGGTAGCGGTAGATGTAGCTTCGCGCACCCGTCATGGTGAAGCCCGTGTCGGTGAGGAAGGTGCCTGTCTCGCTGTAGAGATACTCGACGCACTCGCCGCCGGGTGTTTTTTGAGGCGCGGTGTGTGAGAGGTTTGTCGTGGTGCATGCGGGGCCAGTGGCGGTGGTGTGCTGGACGAGGGAGGTGAAGGTGGCTTCGCGCGGGTGGAAGTTGGCGGTGCCAGTAAAGACGCCGCTGGGGAAGGTGGTGTTTCGGGAGGTGATGCGGCGAGAGAGGGACCAGCGGCCCTGCAGACCGCGGAAAACGGCAGCGGCGGTGAACTTGGTGGTGGGCGTGGGGGGGAGGAGGGATTGGAGGTCGGAGAGCGCTTTTATGGATTCGTCGTGGCTGTCGGCGGGGGCGAAGTGGGCGGGGATCATTGTGTTGGGGAAGAAGGAAGTTTGGGAGGGCGCGGAGGGGATGTTTAGGCGCTCGCGGATGCCGTTGACGACGCCGATGTAGTCGCCGGCGGCCCATTGCGGGCGGAAAGTGGTTTCGGCGGTGTCGGTACGTTTTGTGCGCACGGCGGCGAGATCGGTGATGGCCGTGGTCATGTCCTCGGTGCTGGGCCAGGGGGCCTGCCCGGAGAAGAGGGCAGCGAGCCAGCGGCCTTGCAGCTCCATGATGCCGAAGTAGGGCCCCTTATACATTCCGACAAAGCCGGCGGTCTGTTGGAAGACCGGGTGGAGACAGAGGTTGTAGAGGAGGAGGGGCGCAAAGTTTGGGTCTTCGGGGATGGGCGTCGAGGAGGAGGTCAGGGCGGTGTAGATATCCTCGGGCAGCATATTCTTGAGAGTGGAGGCGGGATGGTAGCCGGTCGCTAGTATCACAGTGTCTGCGTCTGTGATCTCTGTCTCGCTGTAGTCCTCGCCCTGCTCCAGCCTGACTGTGTTTCCATCCATGGCCGCCACACGCCCAAGGACGGTCTTGATGGCCCCCTCGCGCACAAAGCTGCTGTACGAGTCCGAGATGGCGACCCATGGCATCTGGTCCATATACTTCTCCGATACCTGCATCTCGGGGGACAGCTCCGCCTGGTCGTGCCCTACAAACCCTTTCATTTTCTCACTCATTGCCCTTGTGATCTCCTCCATCGACTTTGGCGGTTTTCCCACCTCCGCAAGCCGCGAATTGAAGTCATACATCAGGAGGTCCAGGGGAAGGAAGCGCGGCGCCGTCGGATCCTCCTCGTTCGGGACCGCAAAGAACTTTGCCAGGTTCCAGAACGGACGTGAGAAGAGGTGCACGATTTCCGGCTTTTCCGACCCCTCGACTGGTTGCGAGGAGAGCTGCAGCGCAATATCTGCGGCGGCTTCAATGCCGGTCATTGACCCGCCGACGACGACAATCTTCTTCTTGCCCTTTGTGTTCAGCTTTGAAAAGTCTGCAGAATGGACGACCTCGCCTTTGAAGCTCGAGAGGCCGGGGATGGGTGGGACATAGGGCGCCGAGAAGAAGCCGGAGCATATGGCCAGGAAGTCGAACTTCTCTGCGCCATCTTCCTCTTTTACCTTGCCCCCCCACTCGACTCTCCAGCTGCCATCATCCTCTTTTGTGATCTTCGTGACGGGACAGGACAGCCTCAGCGCCGACTCGGGGATGTACTTTTCGCGGTAGCGCTGCAGGTACTTGCCCATCTCCATCACGGGCGGGAACATGGACGCCGTCTCTGGCCAGGCAAGGTCCGAGAAGGAGCATGTGTACCGCGAGTGGTTCAATGTCAGCCCCGGATCGAGCGCAAGGATGTCCGCCGTGCTGGAGGAGGACCAGAGCCCGCCGATGGTGGGCTTGGCTTCGAACAGCGTAGGCGTGATGTTGCGGGCTAGCATAGAGCGCGCGGTGCTGAGGCCTGATGGGCCGGCGCCTGAAGAGGGAGAGACATTAGTTTACAGGCCCCATAGACTAGTGATCTGATACTCGGGGTACTGGAATGCGGGTGCATACCTATGATGGCGACGGTTTTACGGGTGTCTGCCATAACGCCGGTGTATAGATTTCGATACCGAGAATAAGGGCTAGAACAAGAAGCCGAGATTGCGATAAGCCTACGAGTGGGAATGCGGAATAGCAGTGACCGCAGAATCGTGACTTCAGCTCCAATTTATGAGTCTGATTTGTGTGATATGAGCTCCAGTTTCCCCGGCCCGGCGATGTCAGCAACAGCGGGGCTTTGGAGGGAGAGGAGGGGTCTCGGATGTTTCGGAGATGTCAGTCATCTTTGAATGCAACAGCAGATAAGACGGCAGGAAGGAATACGAGTTCTCGGAGATGTTTTGCAGTGATAGGGCCTCTGCTTGAAACATGAATCTGCCGGATGTCAGTAATAAGCAATACCAGTTGACCATCGACGTTGTTGCTATGGGGTTAGGGTTTGTGAGCGGTGCAGGGTTGTCTCGGGCACGAGATATCACTCGCCTGGGTGACCGGGGCCGAGACGTGTGGAGGCCCCGAGTAAAGATTGGCTGGATGGGAAGCAGGACTGAGACATGGAGAAGGAAGAGAGGAATGAAGGTGATCGAAGGCTGGTTGATGTACAACATGTATCCAAGCAAATAAACGTGGTCTTTGGATAAGCTTCCACCTCCTAGATGCCACATATCCTGTGGGCGAAACAACTCGTGGCGACAAAGGCAGACACTAAAAGTTCAAGTACAGATATATAGCTGAGAATTTCATATGAGGGTAATACTGGCAATGGATATTACAAGACTTCCCTGCACAATCTACAATATAGACTAATTAATCGCTCAAGATGTTCCCCAAAACCATTGAAACCTGGTTGGCGGGAGGTAACTCGAATCATTAAAGCTGATACTTAATGGAGATATGTAATCAAGACCTTTTGATCTTCCTGCTGACGGATGTGCGACCATCTATGAGTCAATGGAAAAGTGTAGGCGAATGATTTACTATGACTGGCTACGGGATGCATATATATGACTACATGTAGACTATGCATCCATAGTGGGGGCAAACAAGGTCAAAATCCCCGGCCTTCGGAGAAGAAAAACTCCCCTGCCCGTCCATCAGGGAAGGATGCCTACTTGGGGTGAGCATGAGACATGGATCCATGGCAGGAATGAAGAGAAGAGGGGAGGCAGCTATACGTACATCTACACACAAACTACCAAAAACCTCCGCACATACATGCAACAAATATTGCAACTGCCCAACTATTTTGTTTAACCTTGGCATCTGCCAATTTTGTCCTTATCTGCGAGTGGCCAAAAATCTACACGTCTTAGCAAACCCTGCTCGCTATCAATTCCCAGGTTTCCCCCATCTCTTGTAAACTCCATAGTGCTGTTTCCGGGCTAACTAGTCACCTACCTGGCCAGCTGGGACTACTACCCACGCTCTACTAGACCGTAAATCAGCTCGACAGAACAACTGACGCCCTATCATCTGGGGTCGAGCAGGTTCATGTACAGATTCTATTAGTAGTAGCTAGTTAACGGATGGGGTGGGACATAAAATTAAACATGCACGCTGCGTAGTTTCTGCTAAACTCCCCAACTGCTGCCACTGCCAGATAGGTTACAGGGTGCTGAATAGATGTTGATAGTGATGGCGGAGTATGTTTCGGTTTGTCTTGCATGTTAGTAAGAGTAGTGGTGGCAGTATGTAGTGTGTAGTATGTAGCGTGGTAATGATAGTTTATTCATGTTTTCCATCTATAGCTCTATAAATGTGCCTATTCCTTTTTTTATCGGCTTTGAAGGATGTATGTGAAGGTATATATACCGGTCTGCCATAGACAAAAAAAGATGGAAAAAACCAGCAAAGAGAAAAAGAGAATCACGCAAACCGAACGACCTTCGTCCCTGCGGCCCCCGAGGCCCCCGAGTCATTACCATCCCCAGTATCCTCCTCCCCCTCCTCCGGGACCCAATCCCTCCCCGGATTCCCCATAAACCCATACCTCTTCCTCTTGGGCGGCTCCTCCGCGCCCGGCGTCCTCTTCCTCTTTGGCGTAGACGTAGCCCTAGACCTCCTCTCCCTCTTCACCTGCGCCACCGCCGGATCGCCCGGAAGCCCCTCAACCTTGTCATACACGCCGCCATGCTTGCCGTGCCCAAACAGCGGCTCGGAGTCCTCCAACATACACGCAGGACGCTTCTCCTCCCCCGCCGTGATCGGCAGGAACTCCCAGTCCCTGATAATCTCGCACATGGCCTCGTCGTCCACCAGCGTCTTTGCATCGCCTCTCTCGCGCTCCGACATCTCCCTTCGGCGCGCCAACACGGCCTCTTCGACCGTACCCTTCAGGTACAGCGTCTCGACGTGTACCTCTCTCGTCTGCCCGATTCGGTGCGCGCGCTTCACGGCCTGCCGCTCGACGTCGCCGCGCCAGACCGGGTTGACAAAGTAGACGCGCGAGGCGGCGCAGACATTGAGGCCATGCGCAGCCTGGCGCAGGTCCATGATGAGGACGCGGTACTTTTGCGATTCCTGGAAGGTGCGGAGGTGGAGTGACTTTAGGGTGGGGCTGAGGCCAGTGGAGTAGGCGAGGGTTTCGATGCCGAGGAGCTCGAGCGCCTGGGTGAGGTACCAGGCGGTGTCCTGGTCTTCGTAGAAGACGAGAGTTTTCTCGGTGGTGTGGTGCTTGCGGATTTCAGTGACGAGGTAGGTTAGCTTTTTGGAGGCCGTGCCGACAATATGCGGTTTTGAGAGGGCGGGCATGGTGGAGAGGTCGGGGAAGCGTGGGCGGGTTGGCGGGGGGGTTTTGGGGGTGGCGGTGTGGTGGGGGTCGTTGCCTGGTTGGGGGTGGTGCTTGCTATCGCGGGTGTTGTGGAAGGCCCGGCCGAGTGCTTTGAGCTTGAGTATTAGGGCGTCGTATTCGAGCCAGCTATGGGCGTTGAGGGACTTTTGGAGATTCTGGATTTGGGCGCCGCTAATTTCGTGGAGGCCGTTCCTGGGGGTGGCGCCGGGGATGAGTCCCCATTGCTCGGCGAGCTGGTTGGGAAAGTCGGAGAGGAAGTAGACTATTCACGGTTAATTAGCTGATAAGATGTGGGTTTTGATACAGGATCTTACCCATCTCGTGGTAGGTGGTGATATTTCTCCATGTTGGATCGTTGAGAGCTGTTTCTCCGGCGGCGATGGACTTCTCGAGCAGTGTCTTGTCTTCGGGTGTGCAGTTCTTGGTCTTTCGATACTTCCTACTGGTCTTGACATACGATCCAATGTCCTCAGGAGAGTATCCGGACCAATAGAACCCAGCTCTCTTCAGAAGGTTATCAGTCAGTTTCCTTAGGTTAGCCTTGTTGTCTTTGTGGAACATATAGTCCTTATCTGACCTCTCACTGGTTACCGCATTGACTGCCAACGCTCCAATAAACAGGTTCATAGAGATCTTGTCAAAGTAACTAGGCTCCAAAGCCACATCCTTCTGGTACAAGGGCGGAAGTTCTACAGAGAACGTTATATCCTTAGCCGTGTGGCGGATGAAGAACTTCTCGAGCATGGACTTCATCCGTGTGGGATTCATGTACCGCTTCCACTGGGATAAAGTCCACGGCTCCTGCTTGAGGAAGTCGCACACCATCTTCCCAACCCTTTCCAGCTGTGCGGCTTCATTGATCTTGATCTCCTTCCTATCCTCAAGAAGCTTATCCATATAGGCCTCCTGGTCCTCTACGCTGTCCATCGCCGTCCCAGTCATAATACCGACAAGCTCGCTGGTTGGTGTTCCTGTCACGATCCACCGGCGCTCTACGGGAAGCTTATCGGCAACCAGGACACTATTTGTCTTTGAGCCTGATGCCATGGAATGACCTTCGTCGACAATAAGCCTCTTCCAGTGGATCGACATGAGCGGGGACTTATAAACATCTTCTTTTCTGAAGCAGGAACAGTTCGGGGTCCGCGTTGCTCCCACGTATGGGCACGTACAGATGAGTGGCTTCCCACCCGATTCCCTGCGGCCTCTTTGATCGAGTCCTTCCCGCGCTTCTTTATCGAACCTGCTTCTCGAGAAGATGACGACATCGTATTTCAGCAGCTCCTGAATAGTTGGTATCAGATCCTTGGAATTCCCGCACGTGAGAACCTTGAGAGCATCCTTTTCTAAGTGCTTCTCTATCTCGCCCTGCCACTGTTCAACAAGGTTCTGGGGACACACGATAATGGTCCCAGACCCGAGGTAGATCTTTTCTTTGAGCGCGGGGTCAGCGTCGTAGCGGCTGCTGCGGGACCGCATGGGTGGCTGTATTTCGTAGTAGCCATGGCTGTCCAGGATTGCCCTTTCGCAGTTATCGGGCAGCTGGTCGGTGCCTGAGTATTGCTTCCATGGGATGGCGTTGCGCCAGATGGATGCAATGCACATATCCATTAAGCTGCCCACAGCGGGGCGGACTTGTGGAGGTTGTTCATATTCTTCGGGGGTGAAGCTGACCTGGGTTTTTGTAGCAAGGATAAGGGCTAAACACACGAGGGTTTTACTAGATGACAGTTAGCAAGTTACTCAACATTTAAATTTACTGTTAGTATTGGTACGCCACAAAACTCGAATGGTTGAAGCCAGTTGAGACATTGATGCCGACACCGCCAGTAAATATCAGACGGGGCTTCCGTTTCTGCAACGGTACGGAGCTTTAAAGGGCCCGACAAATTAGGAAGGGTCGACGGACCGCAGGGCATTATAGGAATTCGTCCAAGATTTTAGTATCGAGATTACGTTTTTTCCTACCCCGAAGCCCGCCGTGGTTACCAGAGCTCCATACCGTCACCCGCGGTCACCCAGTAATCCGCAGTCACCGACGGTCACTCGTAATTACCCGAAGCCCTTGAACTATCGGGGCGAGCGTACAGCCAATTGGGGTCAACGACGATTAGGGGTTTGTCTAACCAAAATGGCTTGCTAGTTGTTCCAGCCCTAATTTATATTAACGTATTGGCTAAAATCCATCGTTTCGTCATTGACCGTCAATTGACTGTAGCCGGCTATGAGCAATGCACTAGGAGGGGCCGTTGCGAACACTGGCACGCCGCCGCTGCGGCGAATGGAGAGGATAGATGAGGTCACGGTGCTGAGCTAGAAACGAGAGTAATATTGAAAGACAAACCGTACCCAGTGCCCATTTCCTCAGCCAAAATACCACCCTTCACATCCTCAAAATACCTTGGGTCCTGGAAGAGCTCTGTAGTCTCAAAGTCGTGAAAATAGACACCTCCATCGGGTCCATGTACATTTGTCAACCTAGGGTCCATTGTTTGCTCTGGTGCCAGCTCCTTTTGCATCATCATTGCTACAGTCCTCTTCTGATGCCTATATAGGGTGGTCTTTATCTCTGGCAAATCTGTGGTAAGGACGTCATTAATCAACTCCTAATGCTGATGTCAGTGCGGAGCATAAAAGCCAGACGGGAAGGATTACCTTTGTGTTTTCATCCTTGATCCAGAAACTTTCCGAATCTGGTGCAGGTGACTTCAATTTGTTGAACATGTAGAACAGACTAGCGGTCCCCTCGTTCTCTGGTACATCTTGTCTTTCGCAGTCTGGACTTTCGCTCATTTCCCATTTCTGCTTTGAATCATCTGTCGCTGAAACAACGACTTTCAAACATTTCCGCAGGGTTGTGTCTTCCCGTTTGATATAAGTCCTGCCAACATCATCTGGGAGAACGTAGATCCTAAGCCTGGCACTTGATTGTGAGTTAGGAATCATCTGGTAGGTGCATCTCAACCACCCAGCTTCGACAAGTACAACCATCTTGGCCTGTATCGACTGCTTGGGGAATTGGTAAGACCGTCCCGGAGTTTCAAGCCAGAACCAGCCATCCGGCGCCTCCATGCCCACAGCAGCCCTGCGTGGCATGGGCATGTCGATAGTTCCAACGCCACAGAAGTTACCGAGGTCATTAAGGAGCTCTATCGTTGCCAGGAATTGTTGGCTTCTTGCAGTGCTTGCATTGCGTTTGCGCTTGCGTGGTGTTGGTGAGGACTCGCTAGGGTTGTTCTGCGCTTCCGGCGGGTCGTTAGTACTTTTAGGACTTGGGCTTTTGCGGGTGTGGGCGCTTACAGTAAGGGATCTGTTGTGGCGAGGTGTAGCTATTGATATGGTGGTTGTTGGAGAAGACATCGTTCCTGCTGCAGCAACTGCTCAAGTGTTCGAATGTCCGTCGCGAGAACTGGAGTTCGCGTTGGAATAAAGTACTCTACGCGTGTAATAAGTGTGAGGATCCACGATCCCTGCAGGAGTGGCGCTTAGTTTAGCGGCTCGTCACCATGCATCCTTATCGGAATACATACATCTCGGTGTTGGTACCTGGGTACTTCATGTCGCTGTTATTCAAATTTATGGCCGATCTATGTACTCATACTGTGCAGCAGCAGCAGCAGCAGCAGCAGCAGCAGCAGGAACCATAACGAGCACGATCAGGCCTAGGGACCCCAGCAGGGCTGAGGTTCTACGATGTCTGGTAGCCCATTAGTTAGTGGCTGCATAAAGTACAACTGCCCTCTGAACTGTATATTGTTCAATACAGCAGATAAGATTCCGTGTGAAATTCAGATTAGGGTCACCAAAACTCGTTCGTTATAGTAGGTGTGTTTTTTTTTTAAGCATTCGGTGTGCATTCGGTGTGCATTCGGTATAGTGGTGGGCGACTGTAAGGGACAGTAGGGCATTCGGGGTTTATTATTCACAGTTTACGGCGAGAGGGGTATGTATATGTGGATAAATGGAGTTCTAAATAATCTACAATCCACAGCTAGGAAAAAGCACTACATGGAAGAAAAACAATGCAATAATTCGGGCCATTTCCCACAAAGACATCAAGAAACACCATTGACTACGATAGGGAATCACATATTAACCCAACAAAAGAACTTTTAATTGTATTTGAAATTTGCCCAGCGCCCCTAGTTTCCTAAGATTTATTTTATTTTTATCTATTTCTTGTGGATGAGCTTCTGGTAGAAGCTGAGCTCCTCGCCCTCCAAGATGTATCCATCGACACGTCCGCTCTGTCCCGGTCGGGATGAGACACAGGCGAGGATACGACCAGCGGCGAACTGAGCCTCAAGGGGACCCTCGACCTTGGCGGTGGCCTGGCGAGCGGCAATCTTGCGCTGGACAGACCTGGACTTGGGCTTCTCCTCCTTTGCCTCCTCAGTGGCAGCGGCAGCGGCCTTGGCTCCACGTCTCTTTCCGAGGGGCTGGCCGTAGTGGGCCTCGTACCTGGTAAATGTTAGAAAATGAAAACTGTCTTTGAATAAGGTTGAAATTACCATTGACGGAAAGGAGCGGCATCGATCTGGACGATGGCGGACTTGGTCAAAGTGTTGGTACGAACCAACTCGTTGTTGGAAGGGTGGAAAGCGACAGCAATGACACGGGTCTTCTTGCTGATACCCTCAGAACCCCACGAGAAGTTTCCAGAGTCCAAACGGAGAGCACGGAACTTGCGGTTTCCTCCACGGGTGCGGACAATGTGGATACCTATACTTTGCCTTAGCATATATGTTCTCCGAGGGATAACCCCACATCCTTTGACGGTGGATGTATAGCGCCCAGAGCTTCTTTATAAGAGAAAGCAATGGGGCCTCCTTCTATCTCGGCGCCCGGATAGGACTGCTAGAGTCCTATCGAGACAGCCTGAGATGTTGAACAGAAGGGTTTACCGTGGAAGTCATGGAGACTACTCACGCTTAGTGTTTCCGATACGGGTGTTGGCAGGCTGGCGGCCGAGCTCGAAAGCACGCTTCTTGCGGTAGGTGGCACGCTTGGCACCAGTAGCGGAGCGCTTGTGGCGGGAGTCACGAGAAATACCCATTTTTGCTGGTGTTTAAGAAACTGTGATAGAGATTGAATGTCAGTCAAAAATCCACATAAAAGGCTCAAAAACTATCTCCCAGGATATTGGCTGGAAAAGAGGATCACAAGAGGATGCTAAGGTGTATCGAGGTCCTTGAATCCCCCGAATCTAGGAATTTTCAATTCACCAAATCCCCGTGATTCAATCAACCCCCCGAAACCCCCACCAGCAGCATCCCCCCATCGCATCCAATTTCTATTCCAAATCCAAGGATAGCAACGCAGCAAAAGGGAATCGGCAAAATACCTAACGGCGTGGTTTAGTCTAGAGTCGTGTCTTTGGGCGTTGGGCGTAGATTTGTCGAAGATTTTGAATGTTGTTGTTACCAAAATAGGGTCTATGGATCATGGTTGTGTGTGCGCTAGTGTCTTGCCAAGGCGTTGTGACTGTTATTTTGCTGAGTGAGATTCTATGACGCAACGTTTAGGTGAGGACTGAAAAATTCCCGATGTATGGCCATAGTCAGTGACTTTATTCTCCACCTGTCAAAAAATAAGAGCGGGCGGGTACTTCAGTAATATCTACAACAGTACGAGAAAAGACTCTTTAAATGAAGGGTGCTGATTGGCTTAAATCTGAAGCTTAACACTGCATCTAGGCATAAAACGGAATGTTATAGCGTCGGAATAATGATACATGTAGTAATACTAGCATACCTACTATAGATAGATATATGTTCCTTTTGATCGAAAGTGACATACTGTCTCGTACGTACCTTTGGCGCGTTTCTAATAGCAGATTTGCAAGATAAAGAAGATTGAAAACCCGATAGGTTCGAGCCGGGAGCAACTTTAATAATCATATAATCCTTCTGCCGGGAGAGTATTGTACTTTTGCTCGACTGGTCGTACCGTTCTCGGGACTTATCCTGAAGCCACCCGCAAACAGGTTAAGGTACAATTTCCTCCCAATGGGAAATAGAGGGCACTGCTAAAACATAAAAGAACATAAGCCCTGTATAACACGGCCCCGAAGTGTAGGATCCAGAGATCCAACCCACACCACCTCTCCCCAGATTTATTGACATAATGCTACCAAGAACCTCCCCCTCATAATCGATTCTATCTCCTATTATGAAATCGACAGGAAACTGACGCTACTACACAGTGTTTTGCCCCTAATGATCGCTCACCAAGGGGGTAGAAGCTATTCGTGCAGTCACAGAACCTGTGTAACATTCGGAACGATGTTTTCTACAATACATACATATAACTCGAGTAACTGCGAAATATTTTATGAGTTTATCAGCTGTATATAGCTATCGCGAGCTTGGAAAGACAGAGCTCCGTTTCTTAGTAGCTATATTGGCTACTACCGTTCGCTGTAGCTTCTTGAAATGTCCAATTTTGGGTGCTGAAAGGTTGACCTTTAGTAATTTAATTACTTCATACAGTTTAACTCGCTATGATATAAAGAGATATAATACAGTTCTAGATTCCAAACGGAAGATTCTCACAACTCCAATCCTACAGAATTAGCTTCAGGCACAGCAGATTGTATATCCGCTTCTCGCACCTGAGTATTATTACCAGAATCCACTTCTAGATTCCTTCCTATTTGGTATCCGTTGCTTCTTCGCCTTCTGGAGATGTAGCGCTCTTAGGCACTCCTATTTGGCCTTCCATCCCCGAATCCTCTTTCGTACCTTCCTTAACCTCTCCACTGAGATCCTCTAGGCCCATTACAAGCTCCTCTTTCACGAGCTCTTTCAGTACCCCCTCTTTGGCATCCAATTCCTCAATAAGATTATCGCCCATATTTCCTGCAACTATTTTCTCCAAAACGTCTAGATTCACCTCGCCTGTCTCTCCTAGCACCTCTAATTTCCCCCCTGCATCTGCCGCGATACTAGCATCTATTTCCCACCCTTGCGGATGGCCTTCTTGCGATGTTACATATATCGTCGGGTACTCCTCCACTATCCGTCCTCTTAGACAGTCCTTCAGCGCAGCCAAAGGGTTCAGCTGTATCAGTGTAGGCTTGTTGGCGGGTGTTCCAACTTTGCGGAGGTAGAAACGCGTTTTGGCCATTTCCGGCTTTGGCTTTTTGCGGGATTCGGCATTATTTGGATGGAAAAATGCATGGAAGAGTATCGAGGTTTCAGTAATTCTGCAAGAGAGGTCCGTTAATATGAAGAAGCAAAGTAAAGGTGTGGTGGGAGGATCAGGTACCGGTCGTCTAGGATCCTCCTATTCCCCTCATCACAAATAATCCACTCAACTGTCCAGCCCAGCACCCTCTGTTTCTTCGTCCTATCCCATCCGCCTGTCAGCACCCAAACCTTGCAGAAATGGCGACATAGGCGCATACTTGACAACATCTGTCTTATTCTCTCTCGCCCTCTTTAGACCTCTCGGAGCGCTCTTAAACACAACTCCGCTCTTCTCTATAAAAGCTTGTCTATTCTGCAGATTCTGCAGTTTCTGTTTATTCACTTTCTCCTCCTCCTCCGCGCCACCATCAGCGCGCAAAACAGCCTTCTCGACGCCAGTGAGGAAATTGAAGTCCCGGTTCAGCGCAGAGGGGGTCGTAAGAGCGGAACGTTTGAGATATGCGGTCGGATCACGGGTGCCGCTACATTGCTTGAATGTTTTATGGCGCTTTGAACATGTGAGGGAACAGGTGCGCGCGTCGCAGGCAGGGCATCGATATTTGGGCGGCGCGGCGTTGCAGAAGGGACAGAGCTCCGAGAGCAGAGTTGTATCTGTTGTTGGCGTGATTGGAGCCGGAGATGGTTGTGAGGTGGACATCGTATCGTGAAGGATATTTTTTTGAGGTCAAGGGTTGGTAAGAATCGGGTTAAAGTAGGAAGGCCGCTTATTTGCGGCGATATCACTAGTAACATATGTAAAGGGCTAGCGGGAGCTTAATGAGAGAGCTGCGCAACCGCAGAGGCAACAGCTAATCCCCCATTCCTACATCCATTCCACTTCATGTCGTTAACCACTTTAAATCGGCCTTGTATCTGGACATAATCGCCCTCTCTCTGATACTTTACTGCTACATCTCTAATATCTACATTGTGCCCTAGAAAGTAACTCAGTAGTGCCACTGGTCGTGCAAATAAGCTTTACGGCGACAAGCAGCTCCGGGCCCTCTCCATGGATCCACTGTCTAAGACCTTCACAGCATCCTACCAATGCAGAAGAATCACGCCACTGGGATAAAGGTTTTGCTGGAACGGTATGTGTTTATCTAGTAAAAGGAAAGAAAAAGAAAAAGAAAATCCAAAGGTAGTAGTGCATCATGGATGCTGCACTAG